TTATTTAAGAGACAGTATAATAAGGTCGAAGCGGGGCATGTTGAATCAAATTCTCGCAGGTCAGAATCAATACGGTAAGAGCCATAAGCGTCATCCCCCACCCCCCACCCCGTCGCCCACCTGTCGCATCACCGTGAACTTTGCGGGGGCGCGGGGCAGGCACGGATAAATGACTTGATAGCAATACTGTTAGATGTGATAGAAACGTGTACACTTCTAAATGGAATGCTGAAGTGATAGCACATTCTTTATGGATAACAATGCGATCAGATAAGATGTTGTAGAAGGTAGGAGAGCAAAAGGGCTGGTTGGTGTGTAGAAAGCACGAAGGCCCTAAACAATATCCTACACGCTAACATCCGAAGAATATCTTAACCTTCTAGACCTGCACCAAGTAAGCAAGCGAGAGAGCCCAACTCGAGTGAGGTGAGAAGGCGACAAAACATCCATTACAGGAAAGGTACACGAGACGGTGAGAGGGCGGTAACAGGAGATGGCGAGCGAGTCGAGTTCCGTCACGAGGTAAACATCAATGAGCTGCGCAGCGCAGCCATTCAGACCTATCAAAACCACGAGGTAAAAGGAGTTCTCGAGGTCCACCTGGAGGAGCTTAGTATTTCTGTTGTCATAGGTCACACAAAACCAACATTAGTTTTATTCATTTGTAAAATCATCATTCCTAATATTCTCTACGTTTATCCTTAAAAAACTTTCACATTATTTCAATTTTTTGAAGATACAACAATTTTTGAAACTAAAGTTTTTGTTAGGTTGATAATGCTGTGTTGAACAAAGAGACTGCGGCCTACAATCGGTAGGCATGATTGTTTTCACCGCGTGATTGTGGCTTGGGCGACTCACTGTAATACGTTACTTTGAGTGTCTGACCGTTCATTTCATAACACATCTCGGATACTTAGAAAGGCACTCCGGGAATTGATAAGAAAAATTAAGAGTGTTAAAAATTAGCCACATTGTTCAGACACCGATGTTCCAGGAATATACATTTTATCAATGAAAATGATGGTATTGATGTCCCGGGAACTCAACTTTCTCATGACTTCTATATACTATCGAATACCATAGTATAAAATTTGTTCAAATGCTTTTTTACTACAAAGTAAATTGAAAGTGGAAAACCAATAGCTAAAATTAACATTCGCAAATATCATATTTACTATGTTTACCTCTCATCATTATCCGTCAACATTTAGTATACGGTACACCCTTAGAGACGCGTGAAGGCGGGGCTTAAGCCCTAATTACGTGCTCTAATAGATATGAATAAAACTTACGGATAGGCGATTTTCATGGTTCGCCCTTCATATGCTTTGTGCCCGCATTGTAACGCCAATTTACTTTCAAACGCAAGTTTTCTCGCTTCGCTCGCCCGGATCCAAGTCACGGCGAGGCACGGGCCTTCGTCCCTTGCGTTCACTATAAACATCCTTGCGTCAATCCAACGCATAATTACCAATTCACTTTTATTAGACATCACTTTTCAAGAAAGCCTCCAGAATTCTAACTGCCTAGTTAACGCCAGAACGGCGCGCGAAGTGCCGGTTTACACGACTTCCTTAGGTTGTACCGTATACTACATTTCAGCCTTATTATATTATAATTATAATATTAATTATTAAAAAGTAGAGAATAATATGTAAAAAATTGCCAAAGCAATGGGTACACATATTACTGAAATATAGTTTGTGTTTCACATACTATGCAGTCTATGAAATAAAACATAACATAATGCATTCGTTAGCAAAGAAACCCACATTAATTCTCGATCGCAGGCAACAAAGTGATATGGTGTTTTAATGCGCCATAAAATGGAACATTACGATGTCACATATCTTTGCTTCTCAGAATCTCTCTCTTTCTTGAAACGTAAATGTACGAATAAATGAGCGTGTGAGCTTGCATATGAGTGTTTTAATGATGTCATAATGATGCAGATACATCTAGATATCGCCTCTTCAGTGAAATCAGAATCACAAAATGTCAAAGTACTTTCTTCAAAACACCATATTAACTTCTGAATCCCCAATATCGACTTAATTAAGAAGAGACTCAAAATTCGGCGATGAAACTAATCTGAACTAACAACTAAATTAGATAAAAAATTATTAGCCTGACCAGGAATCGACCTCCGGTTTCAGGGTTTAAACCGAACTTTAATCACTAAAATACATTTATTACACAATAATTGACACATCATGGAAACATTTAATGTGAGAAACATATTTCCGCATAATTGTCTCTCCCAGAAGGTAACAATTGCCCCATAACATTCATATGTTTCAATACGTACGATTTTTACTGTATTATTGATAAACATTCAATAACGAATTAGAAAAAATTAATAATTACTTGTATTTTTTGCACCTTTTTGTAAATATATCAATAAATCTTCAGATACACAAATTATTGCAAAATCTCTGTGTTAAAATATGAAGAAGAGTACATTTGAAGAATTTCCTTCAATTCAGTTGAATAGATTTAGGGGAAAAGAAAAAAGTATCATTTAAAAAGCAAACTTACTGAAAACACCAATAATAGCAGCACCAGCATTCCAGCACCATAAGGCATTCCAGCCCCATGACTTGGGTCATCAGGGTCTTATTCATAATTTTCTTCAATCTCACTTCTTATTTCTTCTTCTTGACTTTCTATTCTTTTCATGACTTCTATTTTTTTCAGAGCTTCATATTAAGCGTTCAATCTTTCTTTATCACGCGTTTCTTTCCAGAAATACTAACGGTAAAATTTTCTACACTTCGTGGTGAAGATGGAGTTGTGGCTAACAACTGAATTCTGAGTTTACGAACGTACTTCCATTTCTTAAAAACACGTAAAACGCTTTTAACCATATTGTAAAGTAGATAAATCACTAAACGTATTTAAATCACACCTTTAATTTCAAACTACACTGTTCACTTCAAAATATAAACACTCACTATGCGCAGAACAGCACAATGTAACAAATACTCAAAGAAGAAACATGGATTACAAGTGGACACTGTACAGACAAATGAAGATCGTAAAAGTGTCGCCAACTTCGGAATTTGATACTTGGAATTCTACCGCGTAATTCAAAGAAAACAAAGCGAATCGTATATTGTCATATAAATACACGTCACCGTTGTCAGTTGACGGAGAACCCCGAAGATGGCCATTCCCCTCTTTTCAGAAGTAATTTTGAACACTTTAGAAGCTAGAAAGGTCCGTAAATTATATGTCAAATTAAAGAGAAAATTTTAAATATTTATGTACAACTAATTAACAAAAATCGACAATTTCTTGATTTGTTGCCCTTTCGGAGTTCCTTCAACCGAATCAGGCTAAATTCCGAAATAATTGAGTAACGTACACATTATCCGATCTAAATGGATGATATCCGATGTAGGAATAGCTTCTCAGCATTCTTCAGAATTTATTAGGATGAAGAGAACGAGGTGGCTTCGGCAGGTGAAGTATGTTTCGGTGACACGAAAATCAGATAGTTGATAAAAAGGAATCAGGCGTATGGTGGAAATTGTACCTAGTTTCGAGTTCTACTACGTCAGTCGTAAATTTCTACTTAAACGCTACTATGTAACGTAACTTCCTAGTCGCATGACGTTTCTCTACACAATTACTTGTTGGAGGCAAGGGTCCAGCCTTCACGATTTACGTGTCTCAGGATCGAGCTTGTGTAACTCATAACGTTTAACACATTTTAATGACAAAATACGCCTTGCACAATACAATACATCTCATATTAGGACAATCACTGCTGTTGCGTATGCGAACATTAGCAGGATGAAGTCTGAAATGACCTGTTCGTGGTCATTCATAGAACTTTATACACATCATCTGCATAATGTGGGAGTTAATAGGCTACTCGTAAAATTAACCATATTTTGATTTTCGGCAGTGATGTATTAAGTATAACATTTCAGTATGATAAAATTATCATTCTCATAAAATTGAAGAGCAGGTTTTAACAGCAATGTCAATGACTTACGTTCTTTTCTGAGGATCAATGACAAATTGACCAGTTTCGTGCACGTAAGTGGTATTAGAAGAGAAATAGAACTAGAATTAGAAATAGTATTAGAATAGAAATAGAACCCCACCAGAAAATAAAATCGTTGTGCATATACCTTAGCTCAGAAACTTCATCATAAGGGTACGGTTGTGAAAACGTTTCATCTTCATTCAGTAGAAAATTAGTTTAGAAGGAAATTGAAAATAGTTGTTAGGATTCATCGGATGAAGCATTTTAAGCCTTATGAATATTTTCCCTAACTTATGAATCATAATTTTAGGGTAGTTTGATGGATGAATAATGTCTAGACATTTGAGATCTTAGTGTCAGCGTCCGTCTCCTCTCGGAGTCTTCTTTTTCTCCTTCCTCTTCATTTGATGGGTTCGGCAGCGATGCCTTGCCCGGAAGCCATCTTCTTCACAGACGACCGATGCACCTTGGGCTGGCTGGTTTGAAGTCCCTTGCCAGTCAAGGAATTCGACATCGGCTCCTTCGCTTCAAATGACTCACAAAATCATTTTAGTGCCACTGGTCTTCTCGCGACTAAATATCTGTAACTTTTTACATATTTCTTCACTCCTAATTTTGTCATCTAGAGTAGACACTTTTGAAGCTCTAAGATCTCATTTCTGCGTCTCTTACTCCATGTATTTCTCTTTTCCAGAGGATCCAAGTCTCATTTCCATATAACAATCGTCTTATACAACTTAAGTCTTATTTATTTTCTTGTTTTATATTCCAGGGTTCCAAAAAGTGTCCCACAAATACGCGTAAATCTGTTTAATTTGTTTGTGATATTGTCGTCAAATAAAAAAGATACTTCACATCCCAAGTAATTAAAACTGGGCACTTGCTCTCCAGTCTTCCCTTTCAATACTATTTTTGATCTGACAGGATATTTTTCATGAAAAGCCATCACTTTAGTGTTTTTTAATGTCATAAAGTGTATATATATATATATATATATATATATATATATATATATATATATATATATATATATATTATATATATTTGTACATCGGAGTACATCGGAGTATATATATATATATATATATATATAATATATATATATATATATATATATATATATTATATTATATATATATTTGTACAAATATATATATAATATATATATATATATATATATATTATATATATATAATATATATATATATTTGTATATCGGAGTCTCGCGAGTGATGTGTATGTGTGTTCGTGTGCGCAGTTGGCAGTGAGCAGCCAGCGGGGGAGCTGGATGTGGAGGACGAGAGCAACCGCTAGCGCGTTCGCGCCAGGTGCGCGGGGAGCACGACGCCGCGGCGGCGACAGCAGTTGCGCCGCCGCCAGGCCACGCCCGCCCCCGCCCCCGCCGCCTTCGCTCGGCCCGCGGCCACGCCCACGGCGACGGCGACGCCGACGCCCACCACCACCACCACCCGCACATCTCGCGCCTCGACGTCACGTGCGAGCGCGGCACCATGGCGGTGGCCCTCGAGTTCGACGCGCCCTTCGACGGCGTGGTGTACAGCAAGGGCCACTTCGACGACCCGCGCTGCCGGTGAGTGCACATTGGATCTGATTTCGACGATCACGTATTTTAAGGTTGAAAATGCACGCGTTCCCCAAAATCCATTTTCCAATCAATAAACAGTAAACGGAAGTAGTGATTTTTAAGCACGATAGCCGAAAAATTGAAATTAATATTCTTTTACGAGTATAATAATCTTATCTCTACCTTCGCATTCCAAATTTTGGAGGAGTAATTCTTTACGAAATTACAGAGAATATTTATTCGATACTTTCACACTAACGGGTTGCTAATTTATTCTTCAGAATGTGCCAATGAGAATGGTTGGGAAAGATAATTGGTAGACGGGCACGGTTTGAGTGTGGGTAGGCCTAAACAAGCGAACGAGTAGACAACGAAGGTCGAAAAAGACCACCGCCATTGAAGAAGGTTTCTTAGCAGTACATTGCGTTGCTGCGTAGTGCAATTTAAATTGCGGCTATTACAGTCCTTCGAACAAGAGAACAGCCACCATTGTTCCAAAAGGATAGCTTGTGTGTTTTTTGCCTGCATACTCAGCATTCTGAGGCTTTCAACTGTTTCATTGTTGGAACATTGCATCCTCGTTCCACAAGTCTCTCAACAATACGAGGAAATCTTACGTATTCTATTTCTCGTACGGAGTAAAGAACTTTTAAATTTTGACAAAAAGGCATTATTCTGCAAAATATCCTTTGGCATTTTCCATGACACGTGCATCGACAATACAGCTCTCACAAAGGTAGTGGACGTAGTGAGAAAACGATGAGATTACCCTCCGACCTTCCTCTCCCATTCAATCGCAAAATAGTCATTCATCGGGGCTAATCGAAGTTGCAATGCAATCAAAGTGTTTCATATGGAAGAAAAGTCAATAGGGCATTGAACTGAGTGGATCACATGACCTCTGCGACATAATCCTCGGTTTGGATGTGATGTTAGGCAACGTTAATGAAGGGTGTGAATAATACTCTGGCCTTCGAGTTTTTTTCTCTCCTTTAACCCATTTACATCTAATACTTAATCATTACTTCAGACGAGATGCCATGTAACATCGTCCATTGATCAAAGACCGAGTAAGACGCTGTCTTGAATCATTTTCTCTCCCTTCTAATTAATATACTTATAAACTTGCTCACTTACTAATTCACGTACTCTACTCTTACCAAGCTTCTACAATATTAAATATGAAGTGGAAAATGCAATAGTATAGTTCAACTGAATCAAATCCATAAAGGTAAGTCATCTGTAGTGATTTGTTTAGGAGTGCAGAACCGACTTTCTGATTAGATCATAATATAAAACCCTTTGTAATTGCTTAAGAAATGCAATCGCACTTGAATACCTAGATGTGTGTTTTGTCGCAGTATACATCAAAAGTATGCGTACAATTAGAATGCACAAGGATCATCTGGAATTTACTTTCGCATCTATATATTTCTCTACATTACAAGGCCGCAAACTACGAATATAAAACGTGATTTGACTTTCAAATAAAATCAGTGCTGAGGAATAAAAGCTCACTATAATTTTGTGGAAACTCACTTTCTAATAACGAATCTCTAAATTTCAAGAAAATCTTGAAATTTCGCACAACATTATGCTACTTCTAAAAAAATGTATACAGTTGCGTGCTGGTTTCGAATAATATTTGGTATTTTTATTGCACAGTAAAAACTAATTAATTTCATGTAATAGTTATACTCTTGACAAAATGAAACAAATATAAACGGAAGATAGTTCACTGCAGAATTATTATTTATTTTGTTCGTTGTGTAGAATACTTACGGGACTAATTTTCGCTGCAAAAGTAATAAATGCAATATGATGAATGAATAAAATGATAAACGAAATATAATGAACAAAGTGTAATTTAAATTTATCTCAAGTAAACAGCTAAAAGTTTACAAATACTGCACAACTCTGTGACCCAATAACACCGACGAAATATACTCATCTCATTTTTATTCAGGTTGAATCATTATAAGAGTAGTCAATCCCAAATTAAAAATTAAAAAAAAGACACATAAATCCGTGGTGTATAATTCCATCGTGTTAACACTATTATGAAACGGGGGAACTAAGAAAGTCAAGTCACGACCACAAGTCGCGGTTAGCGGTGTCTACGAGCAATTGGCAGCAAGCCTGACCTTTTGAGAGATTTCTTGGACCGGTACATCGGAGTTTTATCTAAAGGCACTGGAAACTGACGAAAACGAACGAAAGGTCAGGAAATGACTAAATGTGTTCTTCCATTCTGTAGGACACTTTGACTTCTTATAAGTTTCACCGACGTTAAT